GCATTGCTACACATACTCATCCTATTTTACAATGCAATGGCTCACCCCTCAACATGGCTGTATGACACCAATGACTATCACCAGTGACCCTTTGACATACTGTATACGGTATATATGGATGTTTACTATCTGCCTCATTCCACTAAAAAGAGGGCAGATATTTTTGTATTATGTTCACAGCTTTACCCCAAACACCTAGTACCCTGCCTGGCACACAGTATGTACTTTGTAAATATTTGTTGAAAGAAATGAATGAATACACGATCTTGTCCCTCTGAACATAGTTCAGCAAAAGATTTCAAGAGAGGATCTTCTGCCAGATATGGTGGTACACACCTGTAATCCCAGTTATTATGGAGTCTGAGGTAGGAGAATGTCAACTTGGAACTCAGCCTCAGCAACTTAAGAGATTCTGTCTCAAAATTTCTTTAAAAAGGACTTGGATGTACCTCAGAGGTACAGCTCTTGCACGAGCTCACAAGCTCAAGGTCCTACCATTGACTCCCAGCACGCACACAAAAATATAAAATGTGTGTGTGTGTGTGTGTGTGTGTGTGGCATATATATATTTCTTAACTTCAAGTCTAGTGTGTTTTGGGTCATGAATCGAGGCTTTTGATTCCCCTAATCCCAGGCCTCTTAACCTTTGTATCTTTGAGAACTTCTTTCAGAATTTGATGAAAGCATTAGGTCCCCTCCCCTCTAGCAAAATGTTATGTGTATACCAACTCAACAATTCCTACCTCCTGTCCCTTGGCTCCAGGTTTAGGAACTACTGATATGACTGATGTATTTTTAAGTTTTCTCTGAGCAACTTTTCTTTCTTTCTTTGATGGTAATAATTCGTGGTCTGTGCTCTTCATTAAGCAGTTGGGTCCAAGGAAACAACAAGGGTAGAATTTAAGACTTCCTTCTGCCCTCATATCATGCTGATTGAGTAAGGGACTTTAGCCACATACAATGGCAACCAGGAGGAAGTACAGAGGAGGCAAAGGATTAGATACTTCAGGTCAGGAAGTTCAGGAAAAAAGGTTGATAGGACAATCAGATTATTCTGATCTTGCTACTTCCATACAAACCATTCAAATAATTCTATGTGAACATTTCCAAATAGCCACCTGAAGGGACCATCATCCCATAGCCATGATGATTAACCTTTGACCAAATTACTGAAAATCACTCTATTCTCCCTTACCTTACTGTAGTCAAATGAGACACTCTTCACTGTAAAGAGCACTTGACTGGGGGGTGGGGGGGGGCAATCTTTGGATAAGTCAATTACCTTTCTTTGTTTCTCAAATCAGGACAAAGCTTAGCCAATCTAACCCACTAGAATATTAAACAATTAAAAAAAAAAAAAAAAAAACTAAGTGAAGTAGTACACAACTGCTTGTTCTGAAATAGTAACAGCTAATCCTCCCAAGAAGATGGGGCCAGTTATGGGCCACTTTGGTGAATTTCCCAGTTTCATGTAAAGTACATAGTAAGTGCTTACTAATTCCAACTATTGAATTTAGTGTCACTAATCTACTACTGTCCAGTTATACCTCAATTTTCTCTGAAATATAAAAACACCTAATCTATGGCACAATATATATTGTATACAATTTCTAAATATTGACAACTAATAACTTTTATCTCTGTGCAAATCTGGGTGACTTTAATTCTTTTACCTACATTTTTCTATAACTATTAAACTTTAAGTGGTTGTATATTATTCTTAAATACAGGAATTATGAACAACTTAAATAAAGCATTATTACTGTGCGTTTACAGATTTTTAGTATGATGAAGACAGAACCCTTCCTTGGGAGGCAGCAACATACAAATCATTAAATATATCCTAAAACCAGAAGTGTGTTGACTCTTCCAAAAAACTTCTGTATATTCAAGGTTGATTAATACAGTTAAAAATTTTTACATGCAAAAATAAAAATATTCCTATTTGGGGGACCAGTTTTTGAAGTAAAAAGTCTTGACCTTTTGCCGAATTAGAGCATAAATCTTCCAAGCCCTCTGCCTATTCTAGAGATTGCTCACTTTAGATAAACAGAAGGCACGTCCTTGAAGATTTTGCTTCCTAAAGTTTCTATGAATCCATGGGGTCAGCCTGGCGGTCAAAGGTAAAATGAGGTCTTTTCCCACAGTTGGAAACTAGGTGCATAAAAAAACTAAACTGCTATTCAACTTATACTATTTGGCATTACACATCATTTCAATTTTATGTTTTATTTTGTTTTTGGTGATGCCTAAGATGGAACCCAGGGCCTTCTGCGTGCTAGGCAAGTGTTTTCACACTGAAGCTGTATTCCCAGACCTTCAATTCTGTCTTTTTGAAGATGCACTAAATTAAGGTTACAGGGCCTTTCCACAAGGCCTAACAGATACAACTCAGCATTGGAACCTTTTTCCTTTTTACAAGGGTTCTCTACCACATCATAAAGCCTAGCCAAGGGATTCTTTATCAAACTGTCAGATCAATAAACTGCTCAACTTTTTTAAAAAAATCACCTAATAATAAAAAAGTACTTATTTATACTGAGAAAACTGTGTCTTCAGAAGTTCTGCACTGTCAATAATTTTTAAAAGATTAGAAAATAATCTTAGATTTTTAAATGGTTAACTACTGAAAACCTTAAGTTAAAATTTACATTAGCTGCATCAAAACACACCTAACATGAGATAGTGACTTTTCCACCCTGCAATTCTTGTACAATCTATCATTTGTTATCCATTTACTGAAAACATTTCCAAAGGGGAAAAAAGGAATACAAATATTCATCTGTGCTGCATGTTTTTCAAATAGCACACATTTTAACTGAAAGAAGTGTCACTTCCAGAAAACACTGGAATAAAGAGTCATCTCATGTAGCCTTTATTAAACTACAATGATTTTTCATTTCTGCTATACATATAAATTTGACAGCTTTAATCAGCTTACATTTCCTGTAGGAATTAGGCCAGCTAATAAAGAAACCACAAGTTACTTTTTAGGACAGAAGACATGTTATTTATAGATTACTCTAAAAATGCTGGGTGTACATAAGTCAAAATGAATTACCTTTACTTTTCATCAACAAAATGGGAATGAATACGTGGATTTAAAGAAATGACGTTTTTCCAAAAGTATTTTCAGAATTGGTCCTTAAACTATAAACTTGTAATCCAGCATCATCTCAACTTTATCTTGCAAGGGATAGGGGACAAGTTTACCAGCACCCAAGATGGCACTGTCACAAGCAACACTTCCCACAATAGCCACCATTTTGAGCAGCAGGGTTTAATTAGACTACTTAAGATTTTATCAACTAAAAGGAAATGTAAGGCATGAGAATAATTGTTAAGCATCTCCTGACTTATAGAATTCTCAACCTTTAATTTTTGCAGCCGTTTCTCTTTTTTGGTCAATATAAAGAGTGTTGCCAGGAAAATTTTTATTTTAGAAATCATGCTTGTTACATCCATGCTCAAACTTTTAAAACAAATGCTGTTGCTGCAAAAAATGCTCAAGCTATTATTACATTTTCCTAAAACCTGGAGGAGCCTACGACTTAATCACATTGTTTTAATCAGCTTAAGGAAAAAAAGCCAGTGAGGTTTATCAGTCTACATTCCTCTTCATTCTCCGGTCCCAGCCCTTTTGATCTTTTTATTTTCCCGATTTCATTAACTCTGAAACAAGAGCAAGTTCCCACACTTCATTCATGAGAAGAAAAAGATATTTCCGCAAACACGACTGAATCTAAAAATAAAGGTGAGGCAAAGACCTCAGCAGTAAACGAATTAAAAGCAACCCGAAAATGGCAGAAGAAAGATATTTGGGAGTAGAGGCAACCGCAACGATTAACTTCTCCAAAAGAGTGATTCCAATTTTGCTCGCTGCATCGTCCAACCCTTGGCAGAGCTAAAAACAAAAACTAACCAACAGTACCTTTGTCCCAAGGCAAAAGGTGATAAGTCACTACACCGACTGCTATAGGAAAGAAAGCAATTCAACCTGCCAGCCAATCAAATATTTCACACCCCCTTCCAAAAATAAAAATAAAAGGAGGATGCTGGCTGTTCGTTTGGGCCGTCGTTTGCATTTCGTTCCTCACACTCCCGCCACCTTCTCTGCCACTAAGACCCTCCAATTTTAGTCCAGTTTATCACAAAGCCTCGGGTCTGAAAGCACCTTCGGCCTGGCCAGAAAAGCCATCCCTCTTCTCCACACTCGCCCGGAGAGATAATGGTGGTGAAATCAACTCCAAGAGCTTCCCAGGTCCCGGAATAAAAAAAAAGGTTGCATATTCCTACTGGAAAGAAGCTATTAAAGAATAACGGAGTCCCAAACTTTCCCTCAGCAGCCTCGGAGCCCCGAGCGAAGGCTCTGCGCGGGGCGGCTCCCCAAACGAGCGCGCCGAGCCCTGCCCCCCCCATTCTCCAGCCCGAAGTTAGCCCCAAATGCCCAGAGAGTTGCGGGCCTCCGGGAGTCGGCAAAGTGCGGCTCCTTCTCCACGCGTCCGCCCGAATGGGGGCGAGCGGGTCCCAGTAAATCCCGCTGCGCCCCAGCGCGTGCGCCCGCACCCCGTCCCCGCCCGGAGCAGCTGGCTCGCCGCTTCAATGGCACCGGGGGGGGGAGCGCGCGCACGCACTCTCGCCCGGCTCGCCCTCCGCAGAAGTCCCGGGAGAGCCTCCCGTCCCACTCCGACAAAAGCAGATTCCCCCTCCGCCTCTCGCTGCCCGCTTCGCCTCCTCCACAGACCGCGCGTGGGCGCCGTGGGCGTCCGGGCGAACGTCCCGAGCCCGGCGTCCGCACTTGGCGTCCGGTGCCGAGACGCAGTGGCCCCCGCCCGCCCTTCCGCGCCTCGTGCCCGATCGCCAGCCCTTCTCTCGGCTCCGGACTCCACCGAAAGTCTCTCGCGCCTCAGCTCCCCCCGCGCACGACGTCCCGCGGACGCCCCGAGGAGGGACGAAGGAGAAAGGGGCGCAGCGCGCGCGTCGCCCGCCCGACCACTCACCTCGATCTCAAAGTCGGGCAGGCGGAACGCAGTGCGAAAGAGCGAACAGAAGTGTGCGATGGCCGGGACTTCCCACCAGGAACGGAGCTCGCCCAGCCCGGCCGCGCCGCCCTCCTCCGGGCACATCTCCTCGTCGCGGCACCGGCCCCGGGATCGGCGCGCGCCCCGGCTGCCCCCGCTGCCCGCGCTCGGCTCCCTTGCCTCGGACTCCCGCCGCGGCGCGGCGCCTCCGCTGCTCGGACGGCGGTGGCGCGGCGGAGGCTGCTACTCCCGCGGCTGCCGCTGCTCGGCGTGAGCATGAGCCGAAGGCGCGCGGCCGGGCGGGGGGCGGCGGCGCGGGGCCGACTCACTGAGGCGGCTGCTGCTCGGGCTGCCGACCGGGCCCGCGCGCTCGCCCCATCCCGCGGCTGCGGCTGCGGCCGCCCCCAGTCCCATACAATATAATCAACTCACCGCTGGGGAAAACAGATGGGGCTGGGGGCGGGGGGAGGGGGCCGAACAGAGGGCCTGGGGGAGGGGCCGCCCACGAGGAGGGGGCGGGGCTGTCCTCATCACAACAACAACCCCCGCCCCCGCTCCCCACCCCCGCCCGGACAGCTGCATTGGAAGGAAGGGGGAGGGGAGAGAGAACAGAGCACCCCAAGAGAGGGGAGGAATGTAACTCCAAGGAAGCCAGGTGCACCTCCAGGAACTTTTGCCAAGAAGCGCTCGGCTTTATAGGTGTTTAGAACTGAGGAGTTTAGAGACTTTCATGAGAAAGGACAATAAGGGTCTCTCCCACCCCCCATTTGGCCCTAGTGGTCGCGTCCTTTTAAAGGGCCCGCTGGGTGGTGCTTTCTGTAGGGTCTAGCTCTAGAAGCGTGCACGTGTGGGAGTTCAGTTATTATTGATGCGGAGGGTTAGTATATAGGACGAGTGGGTTGTCCACCCTGGAAATAGGAGGCTTAGAGAGATGAAGTGGTTTCCACCTGTTCTTTAGTGCTTTTATTCCATCCGAGAACGGTGCTTCAAGGCGCTCTAAAGTGGCTCCTTTCTCCAAGGGAAGAAGGTGGTGGGGCTGGTTAGGCTGGAACTAAGTAGGATGGAGGCTAGAGTGCGGCGGGAAGGGTGGGGTAGGGGGAGGCACCAATCAGCAGCCAAGCGGGAATAGCAATCCCCCTCCACCCCAGGGAATGGACACGTGTGACCGCCCTAGAGAAGACCGGCTCCAAGCCCTGCGACTGCCCTCGCTGTAGCAAAGCTGCCTGCACGAGTGCGCACAATGTGGCTAGAAGGCTGGGGGATGGGAAAAGAAGCTCTAGAATCGGGGGAGTGTGGTCGGGTGGGGGTGGAGACCTGCACGCTCAGGCCGAGGGAATGTGCTCTGGGAGAAAGGTATTGAAGCATGTGCTTTAGAAATGTTAAGTGCCGAAAAGGACGTAGGAATTCTACATAACCGGAAGAGAGAAAAATCACCTCAAAAACAGCCCAGAAGTTTGGAAAAACTATATTGAATGCTTAACTCTTCGTATTTGTTATTGCACTTAGTCATTTAGTACTGCATTCTTCCCAAACTCTCAGAAGGCCCCAGCCCAGTTCTCCAATTCACCTCTTAGGAAACACCGCTCCTGATGCTCCCCCAAAATTAATCAACTGTTTAATGGGTGACAGGCACAACCGCAAAATGCATGGTGGTTAAACCAAGGATCCTCTTTTGGCTTTATGCGGTGTAAAATCTGAGAATGGCAAGCATGAGGAACGAATTTATGTGATAGATTTTAAAGTGGGTTATCTGGGTAACTGTCCCCCACCACTCCCTCATCTATTCTAATCATTTTATTAGCCTGTTGTGTTTTTTAAACGCAGCATTTAGAAACATTAAAAATTTCTTTTGTGAATCAACTAAATTCAAAATACTGGTGTCCCCCACCCCAACAAAAATGAACACACATATAAATGCCGCCAAAGGACAAGGCTATTTATAAAGCACTGCTACTCTGTAGATAATCCATTAATAAGCAAGATGTGAAAGGCCACATGGAATTCATTATATAACCTGAATTCACTGTTTTCTGGACTTCCCTTTTCATCTCCTCAAAGATAGTCTGACTTTCCACACTTTTGTTCCTTTTAACTTTTTAAAAGTGATATTGCCTTTTATCACAATTGTTTCTAATCCATAGTATTACTACTGTTCTTTCCCCAGATTTTCTCTGCTCTTCTGTCTTCGTATTCCTGTCTTTATCTTTTATCATCTTTTAACTATCTAACCTGACCTCTCAATTGTCACTTCTTGTCACCCTAATAATAGATGGTTAACAATACCAGGAAGCAGAAAAGTGAGATGTGGCTACTCTGTAGTCACTGTAGTATGTTTGAACGTGGCTACCAACCTTCACACAAAGGCCCGCCATAAGCAGCAACTCTCTACTACCCCTCCTGCGTCCTTTCTCCATCACAGTCTAGTCCTGGAAATTAACAAAGCTGTCCTGGAACTGGAGGCGCCCCCTAGTGGTGGCCATAGATCTCAACACCTTACTTCCCTCTGCCAGTTTCCGCCAAGGGGCTCCCTCTCCGTGGTCATTTGGGCCCGCCATCAGCTTTAAGCCTATTTCCATATGTCATTCGCTTAACTGACAAGTTCAGTCCACAATTTTGGTCTGGTTTCTCCCCTTTGCACTCCTCCCCCCTCCCCAGCCTCCACAGTCTGGAACCAATCCTGGCCTCAGCAACTAAGGAATCTAAAATGTCTTGGTCTGGCTGTAAATCTGAACGCTAAATTCCCTGAGTTCAAACTCCAACCAGAGCTTCCCTTTTAGGACCTCCTCTGATTCCCTCCCATTTTGACTCCTGTCTCTGCAGCTGTTGGAATTGATACCATGAATCTTTGCCCCTGCCTTGAACATATATGTCCCACCTTTCCCCTTGGACTTACCTGCCTCCGATTTGTTTTCTGCATTCATGTCCAGGCTAATCTCATAGAATCCAGATTAATGACCCCTGTTTGGCACTGGCCTGCCTTGCTCTCTCCCTTCAATTCCGAGTGAAGTTACACTCCTGGATTTTTCCAGCCTGGCCCATTCTATCACCCTTTAATTAGTTATTTAGCATCTTCCTTGAAGACAGATAGCTCATGTGTCCTTTGTCTTTCTCAATCTTGCTGTTTTGGGCTTGTGAGCCAGTGTCATTAACCTCATATGACTTTTAAAGAAGTTAGAAGTAATTCTTTCATTTTCTGCACAAGTCTTTAGTTCTAAATCCTCTTCTAATTAAAAGTTTTTCATTTTTAAGAAGCACACAATGAGGCCAGATAGGGCACAGTGTCACAAGCGTGTAATCCTAGTGGCTCAGGAAGTTAAGGCAGGAGGATCATGAGTTCAAAGCCAACCTCAGCAAAAGCAAGGTGCTAAGCAACTCAGTGAGAACCTCTCTCTACGTAAAATACAAAATAGTGCTGGGCTGTGGCTCCGTGGTCAAATGCGTCTGAGTTCAATCCCTAGCACTCTCTCCCCCAAAAAGCACAATGATTAGTATGACTTTTCTGTTTTGCTTATTGATTAATATTGCAAAAATATTTACATGCATGTCCTCTTGCAAAATATAAAGTAATTTCAGCTATCATAGGGCTCATGGGTTCCTGGAAGATAATCTGGGAAACTAACCACCTTCTTTTTTTTTTTTTTCCCCCAGTACTGGGAGTTGAACCCAATGGTGCTCTGTTACTGAGCTATATCCCCAGTCCCTCCCTGTTTGTTTGTTTGTTAATTTATTATTATTATTTTTTAGTTGTTGATAGACCTTTATTTATTTATACGTGGTGCTGAGAATCGAACCCAGTGCCTCACACATGCCAAGCAAGTGTGCTACCGCTGAGCCACAGTCCCAACCTTCCCTCCCTGTTGTTTTTTAAAAATTTGAGACAGATCTTGCTAAATTCCTGAGGCTGACCTTGAATTTGTGGTCCTCAGGCTGTAGCCTTAGCCTTGGAATTGTGGGATTACAGGTGGGCATTACAGCACCTGGCCCACCTTCTTATCTCATTATTTCCTTAGGAAAAACATTGCAAGTTCCAAAAGATCAAATGAAATGATCTGATTTCTTTGAACGCTGGAAGAGATGAGACCAATGAATGAAAGTGTGGTTTCTTTTGTAACTACAGATAACTAGGACTAGCATTCAAATCTAACTATTCATCTCAATTTTCTGTCCCAACAGATTATGCTGCTTCTCCTTTCTATTTAAATTGCCTTCCCTCTCCCTTTGTGTACCAGTGAGATCTGGATACTTCTTGTTTCTATCCCAGGGTCAAATTGAAGCTGGTGCAGACTATACCCAGTGTTTTAGAACTTTAATTTGCTGTGGACAACTGAAGTCCAGGCACAGCACAAATTCTTGACACCCCTTCACACATCTCTCTCTTTTTTTTTTCCCCTAAATTTTTTGATGGTGGGGATAAAACTTAGGGACTCATGAATGCTGGACAAATACCCTACCCACACATCCTTGTCTTTCCAAAGGACTGCATTCCAGGCTGGGGATATAGCTCAGTGGTTGAGCACTTGCCTACCATGTGCAAGGTCCTGGATTGAGGCCCTGGGTAGTATCCCCAGCAGGAAAAGGGGAATAATATACCTATTCCCAAAGAGGGGTTATAAACTAGACAAATTTAAAACTTTGGGTCAGGTGCAGTGGTGCACAACTGTAATCCCAGCAATTTGATAGGCAGAGACAGGAAGATTATAAATTTGAGTCCAGCCTTAGCAATTTATTGAGACCCTGTCTCAAAATAAAAATAAAGGGGTGGGGATATGGTTCAGTGATAAAACACCCCTGGGTTCAATCCCCAGTACCAAAAATCAAAAAAATAAATATTTAAGTTTAGTAAGGAGCCGAGCACAGTGGCACATGCCTGTAATCCCAGCGCCTCAGGAAGCTGAGGCAGGAGGATTGCGAATTCAAAGCCAGCCTCAGCAAAAGCGAGGCGCTAAGCAATTCAGTGAGACCCTGTCTCTAGATAAAAATACAAAAAATAGGGATGGGGATGTGGCTCAGTGTTTGAGTGGCCCTGAATTCAAACCCCGGTACAAAAAAAAAAAAAAGAGATTAATAAGTAAATTAGTGGTGAGAGAATTATAATTCTCTCTAAG